ATCTACCACGGTATGTATCGAAACAAAGTTTACCAAGGAAGGTGGTTTAGTGTGATGACGAGTTGTTTCTGAACGTATAAAGGTGGTTTATACTTCCTTACTGCTACCTAGGGTTTCCACAAACTTTAAGATGAGCCCCGAACACGTTTATGGATAGGTTTAAAAGACGTGTAACCATCAATTTTATGTCCTGTCTCTATAATATGTTTCTCAAATAAATAAATCAATAATAAATGAAGCTGAATTTTATCTATGATACTTATTTAACCGCAGTTCCATTCACCCCACGCTTCACACTTTCTAATCCCATGAAGTTTTATGCAATAGAGAGAATATTTCAAAATAATTTATGCTTGGTAACTGTCTGTTCTTTCTCTGGAATTATGAATTTCTATTCATTATAGAATATGAAGAGTTTGGTGGATATATCCGATGTATTCAAAGGTTCAATGAATTCTTTGATAGTGCAACCGTCACACATTCATTCACACACACACACAAGCACAAAACACATTGTTTGAATTTTCGTCGATTCATCTTCTTCCTTCATATCTCCATTAATTTGCATAAACTCTAATGTCTAGATGTAATGAATATGAATTCATAATGAGACATCAGATAAGATGGTTTGTCACAAAACTCTGTGTGCCGATTACAACTTGTTGAAATGAAATGTTGCAAAGACAAAGAGTATTGTTGATGGCAGACATTTTTCATCTCATGGATGACACATTGAAAACTTCAACTCGTTAGTGAATTTTAAAATATTCGATGTACTTCCTCCTGCTTTTGATTTTTTACATTCTGATTGGAACATCACGCCTTTGAAGTTTTAGTAACGGTGGTAATTTTTTTCGTGTGGTGGAGTTACCCATCTCACGCCCAAGCTTTCATCTTTCCTAACTTGTTCTTTAGTACACTGGGCAAAGTTAGGAGTGCGTTGGGTGGGAATCGAACCTCGGGCCAAGTTCGTGGCTGAAAAACATTTCATTGTTAAATAAGTGGACTTTATTTATGGAACTGTATATTCCCAACATTCTTTTTCTGTCAAATAGTTGTTCAAATATAACGCTCCAGATTGAGACACCTTATCAGTTAATCTGTAGAAACACGAAATAATCGAGCAAAAAATATTCTCTTCGATAAATTCCTCTTCCAGGCTCTACAATTATATATATGTTTATATACACAGAATATTTTAAATTAGTAGTTAATAACAATATTAGCGTTTTTTTAATAATATCGATTTGTAAAGTATGGTCAATGCTATTGCAGTTCATTAAAGATGCTTAAATTATAATAATAATAATAATAATAATAAAGATATAACAGCGAATAGAATATCAACTAAAATTAGGGAAATTTCACAAAAATTCTGGATTATTCAAACCTGGATGGCCAAGGTAATGATAATTACTGAACTAACTTCTTTTGGGTGCATAAATTAGGCTTATTAATATGGATCCCCACAGCCTCAGCAATATTTAGAAGTCGAACTCTTAAAGCGGAATTGGGATTCGTAGGTATGCGGTAAATGACCCTGAACAGTTCCAAAGAAAGCTTTGTTCTTACAGATGCAGTTCCTAGGAGACAACACAAGTGAGATACTGACACATCGCCTCAGAAATGCGGTGAAAAGAGCATTCCCTGCTGCTTAATTACGCGGTATCTTTAAAACCACCCCTCTTCTGCGTTCGGGAATAAAAGACAAACTGCCTATTTTCGCCTCTTCCATGTGTATATACCAATTTAACTGCTCCTGTGCAGCCAGTTACATAGGCCGTACAATTATGCGTGTTTCTCGTCGAATTTCCGAACATCACCCTGCCTGGTTAAGCAGAGGTCAAACAAAATCTATTCGCAGCGCTATTCTGGATCACCTTGTGGAGACAGAACACAAGATTGACATTATTCATGCTTTCAGGGTCATTTACCGCATACCTACGAATCCCAATTCCGCTTTAAGAGTTCGACTTCTAAATATTGCTGAGGCTGTGGGGATCCATATTAATAAGCCTAATTTATGCACCCAAAAGAAGTTAGTTCAGTAATTATCATTACCTTGGCCATCCAGGTTTGAATAATCCAGAATTTTTGTGAAATTTCCCTAATTTTAGTTGATATTCTATTCGCTGTTATATCTTTATTATTATTATTATTATTATAATTTAAGCATCTTTAATGAACTGCAATAGCATTGACCATACTTTACAAATCGATATTATTAAAAAAAAAACGCTAATATTGTTATTAACTACTAATTTAAAATATTCTGTGTATATAAACATATATATAATTGTAGAGCCTGGAAGAGGAATTTATCGAAGAGAATATTTTTTGCTCGATTATTTCTTGTTTTATGGATGTCTGAATGAATATTTTTGCAATATTGAAATCTGTAGAAAGTGTATAAGAGTGCATCTCCCCAATATTACACACGCACTAGACAGTAGAGGAAATTTAACCCACAGTCGACAAATTTCTAGGTAACAGCATATATCCATTCACTCACAAGTTTAGATTCCAAGAGTATTCAAGCTCAATCTCCTAATAATTACTTACTGTTGATGCTATATCAGCTATATACCATTACAACAGAGTCAGCCGGTTTATCGATGAAAGCAAGGTGGAATCCGTCAGTACTCTCTATTTCTCACTGCTTATCAGAAAATATCAGAATCGAGTTGCAGAACATTTAAAAAAGGCATAAATAAGAAGAAGTCATAAGTTTCTGCCACTAACAAACATTTTACAAGCTACACTTTATTCTGATGCATAGAACGAGTAAATTCGTTTGAAACAGAAACTATTTCCATAGATTTCGTGTCTGTTAACGATATCTGATGGCTCCATCCTCTACTCTCCATATGAGTATTGATGATTCGATTTATATACACTGAGGATAAGCACAGTCTAGCTTGCTAGATCTTTGTTACTTTATTTTCTATCCCCGTACATAAGAGAGGATAATCAGGCTTCCTGCTGATTGCCTCCGACTATCTAATATCATCAAATCAATGTGCACCGTGATGGCAAACTACCTAGAATGGTGGCCACATTGCAAACTTGACTGATAGAATTCAGTCTGTACCAAAGAAAGGACTAGACACGTCACACTAGTTACTAATGTGCACTGAAAATATTTTGTTATCATTATAATCATCGTTATTAACTACGTTCAAAACTTTTACCACATTATTATTATTACTATTTGATCCACAAAATCACCGTCATTGGTTAAAAATTTCTGTATATAAAGAGCTATGTAAATTACAGTAAAGCCTGAAGAAGATCTAATTGAAAACAACAATATTGTTCACTTATATGTCTTGATCTGTGATAATACGAATGATGATAAACGGCATGATTAAATAAAACAAATATGCAGGTAGAAGTAGTCGATAAAGGTTAATAAAAACAAATGAACCGATTAAGTAATGCTAGATTGTAAGGGAAGTAAATGAAACACTTTTTAATGGATATGTGATAAGATTAATGGATGATAAGAGAGGGGTTGAAAATATAAGTAAGGGGTGGTGTAGAAGTCATCAGTTGGTTATGTCTTAATAGGCCAAGGGTGGAATAATGGCTGTTCGAATTTCTTTTGAATGCATAGTTTAGGTTTAATAGTTCGAATGCCTGTCGCCTGCCTCAGCTGTGTGCAGTAGACGAATACGAAGTCTATTGGAAAGATTCGGTGGGATACGATGAATTACTTTGAAAGCTCTCATTTTCTCCAGTACATGGCCACTGTCAATTAAACGTGACAAAATGGAGCTACGGATTGTTTTTCTCTGTCCTTTGTCAAACCACGATGGGAGATGTTCACTGACATGTTGGCTAAGCTGTCTAGTAGTACGCCCAATACAACCGTCATTGCAGGTGCAGTTGAATTGATAAATGCACATAGATGTGACGAAACTATCTAGCTTATCCTTCGTTTGCGTCCCAATCATTCGTTGGCTACAGAATTACAAACATACTCTTTCCACAAGCGGTACATCAGTGAATAGTGATGATACATCCATGGATAACATGTGTTTATACCTCACATTAGTCTCGGATATTTTAGAATTAAAGTCAAAGACATCCCTGATTCTACGTCAAGGGATTTCTCTGGGCAAAGGTCCCAGAATCTTCACTAACCACCTCACCGTTCCGTGATATGGAGAATTATACATAGACAAAACACCATGATTGGTTTATATTTGAATTTTTATTTGTAAAGTTATGTATATTAGAGTTAAGCCTGATGAGATCTAATCGAAAGAAATATTGTTCGCTTAAATCTGTTGTTCTAAATTTTACTATGGGAATATTTAATATACTTCTTATACGACACATCCTTTAAGTGACAAACTGATGTATACACCTTCCTTCGAAATGGTATAGATAGTTTGACGGGAATATTTTCGGAATAGCCTTTGATTAGAAGACTCATATTGATGTTATGGATAATAAAATGAAAGCAGAAGCCATCGCAGAATGTGAACCAACTTCCTGCGGACTATGCACCATATACTTTAAACCATAGACGGTAGGTTAAGGTCTCAGTGAGAACACCCAGTGAGTAACACTTTCTGACCATTAGACATTGTCAAAGTGTTCGTACCAGGGGACTGGGCATTTCTTTCTCATATAAATCAATTCACAGGGGAATTCAAATTAATTTTAAACAAATAACAATAAATCTTTTGCTTTAAGAAAAGAATACTTAAATTCAAAGTACTTTAATAACAATATCAAGCTGAAAAATGAATTAATATACTCTTATTGTGTTATATATCGTTGCTAATAGCAACAACAACCATTATTTGGTTTAAATTGTAATTCGCACTGGCACTTTCCATTATGATAATTTTTTTTATTATCATTCTTTACTTTTCAATAGTAATAAATAACATAAACGTAACCAAGTGAACAAAGAACCAATGAGAGTAGAGTTATATCCTCATTATTCTAAATTCAATACATATATATATTTATTCAATGTTGTTTAAATGAAAGTGGCTAGATGGAATCGATAATTAAGCACACATTCGAAATCAAAATACACAAATAATAAACAAAAAGAATTAAAGCCTAAAAATATATTTATATGTTAATTTTTATCGACTATATATGCATTAAAGACTATGGCACGATCGTTTCCAGCTGATACAAGAGCTCAAAAAGCCTTGGAAGAACTTTATGAAAAAGAAACCATATCCCAATTGAATTGGTTCTTAAAATGTCAAGAAGCAAAGAAAAAAGTTGGTTCAGCACCGCTGACAGCTTCAGCTATAATCGATGCACCATTACCCAGTGTTTCAGATATATTAAAAAAGCTGAAAAAACCTCAACAAGAACAGCACAAAGAATCAGAAGTCAGTGAATCAAAGGTTTCTGCGGAGATCACATCAGCAGAAAGTGGATACGATGCAGAACAGATTAACTTAACAGCTGAACCTGATATGCGTAAACCATCTGAAGAAGTTTTAAAATTACTATATGAAGGTATTTCACAGGAAGGTAAAGGAAGGTAGGTTGAGTCATTATTACTATTATTATTATTACTATTATTATTATTATCGTTATTTGCTCTTTATCAAAAGACCGAAAATGCCGACTGAGTCATTAGGAAAAATAGAAGATATATAATTGGTGGATGGTGACTAGCAGTGGAATCCACCAGGATGCGCATTTCGTTCTTATTTGGGACTCGTCATAGAGGTATACCTGCATTCCCCAGTCACTGGGTGATGATGTCCCCACCGAGGCCCGAACTCAGTGCCCGTAGTTTCAAACGCCAAAGCGTTATCCTGAGACCGAGCACTTCAATCCAATCAATCGACGGGAAAATCTAAAAACATTCAGTTAAAATTAATATGACCCGTTGCAAAAGAGGTGGCTGTCGTGGCCCAGATGGTCTAGTGCATAACGCTTTGGCGTTTGAAACTACGGGCACTGGGCTCGAGCCTCGGTGGGAACACTATCAAGACTCACTGGGGAATGCAGGTACATCCATATGACGAGTCACAAATAGGACGAAATGGGCATCCTGGTGGATTCCACTGCTAAGCACCATCCACGAATTGACTTCCGTAGATACTAGCTATTCCAATGTAAAGCCACTCTGAAATCAATCGTTACCTAATGCTCCATATAAACAAATGTCATAATTCACTTCAAAATTGACAGGCAGCTAGTAGTAATAATAATATTAATGATAAAAGACATTTTCTATAGTTGGTTTGTAAGGATTAGTTTTGTTTTTACGAGTTGATCACGGGTTGATATCAATTAGATAACCATTGAAAACCAGTATTGAAGTAATTGACAGTTGTTTCACGCTAGTTTGGGAATCATCGGCAGTACACCCTCACTGCCACGGTTCGAACCCAGGACCTTCTGGTTACAAGGAAAGCTGGCTCGTATACCATTCAGCCACTGGGACCCGATTCAATGGCCCATGAATTCTAACTTCAGAAGAAGATTTCCTTAATTGACAAAATCACCTGTAAAATAGTATTTACATTTACTAAATAGGAGTTCAGCAGTTTATTGTTGAGTAAATAAGCAGTGTGACGCCTGAGTTACGGATCATTTTCGACAATCGACAGATGATCAGCGAATATGTGAAGAATAAACTGCCATTTTAGACCACTTTGCCGTATGTGTTTATTAGTCAGTAGATGGAATAGGATTCATTTTCATCTTTGAGAACCATTTCTGAGTAACTGTATCAAGTATGTCACACTTACACTCACACACGTCTATTACTCAACAATTTACAGTTATACCTTTTAATTAAACGTGGATGCGATTGTATAACGTTTGAAGATGACTTCGGTAATAAGGAAGTTTTCGTTTGCAGAATTATCTTCTATTTTAATTGAGTTTAAAAGAGTTCATATATTTTCTGTTTCTTGCCTCACACTATTCATAGTTGTTCATCACACGCTCTTGTAGAGCCTGTAAACGATGGAAAGTAGTTGAAAACCAGTAGAACTGTAGCAAATCCTCCAATAATTAATTCATTTAGATAAAGCAATAAGAAGATGTAATTTGTCTGAATCGTCTATTTTATGTATTTGCGCAACACATTTCGAACAATCTGATCACACACGGACTTGTCATAGGAATATATATGAAATTAATAAAGAGTTTATAGGTGAGAAAAAAGACTTAGGTCAAGTTAAAGGAACACATTCAAGGTCAAAGTTACAGTGAAGATCACCATACCAACTAAGAGAAGTAATGGTACATCTGCCCTGGTAAGTATCAAAACAAAGTTTACCATCGAAGGTGATTAAGTCTGATGACGAATTGTTGCTTTGAACGCATAATGGTGGTTTAGACTTCCTAATTGCTAGCTAGGGCTTCCACAAACTTTAGTATGAGCCACAAACACGTTTTATAGATGGGTTTAAAATATCTGTTAACGTCAATTTTATGTCCTGTCTCTATAATATGTTTCGCAATAGAGGAGATAGGTCTCCTCTTCTCACCATTAATGGATCCTGGGGATTCTATTTACTTCTGGAGCCATTTAAGAATATTCTTTGAAGCCATCCCTTACTTGCAGAGATCGATGAGTCCTCCCTATGTATGTGTGTCCACACGTACATTCAAATTGGTAGGTACAGCGGGATGTGACATCATTTTTCGCATATTCAAAGGGCTTAGATGGATGGATATATTGGCTTCACATTCTCAATTATTATGATATTAGCTACATAAAAAGTCTTTCTAACCACAGAGTTCAACCATTGTTGAGTTACCCAGCTGCTATGATGCCACAATAAGGGTAGCTTGATGTATATGTCTTTCTCAGTGGCAATTTGAAGAGGCGGTCTTAATTAATTCTTCTTAGAAACGACTGGATGTAAAAGAAATGTTTCTAGGCTATTTAAATATATTAGATTTTATGTATTCAAATTCTAGTTCATTCATAATCATAAGTCTTTTGAATAACTTAGCAACATGCGAGCTACTTTCAGTCTTTGTAAGTAGCCTTAAAAAGAGTTTTTCACAGATCTTGTGAATAGTCATAACAAAATCGATACATCATTAGCTCTAAAGGTGTAGTAGTTTTTTTCTTTATGAGCACTGAGAATCTACGATCCTCAATGATTTGTCATTGGTACTTTGATTGATCTCCCTAAAAGTGGTTCATATTTCTCTCAGGAAGTTTATTGTGACTTGAATTGATTTTTGAACATCCTCCAGTATTAATCTGCCGATATGTCCGTTGACATTGTTGCCTCATAGCACGGACATCTCAACGATTCCACTGACCAAATAACCAAAACTTTTAGACTCATTTGTGTGTTGTGATTTGAGTGTGCTAAATGATTTAAATCAATATTTGATCACTTCATATGAACTGACTCCAAATCGTCTTTCATAATGCATATCCATCTTCATTATATATATATATTATATATTTTATATTATTCCTTTACGTTCCCAGTGGAACATAGGGCTTCAAGCTAGAGACTTGAAGTTTCGGTAGCAGTGGTGCTTGTTTATTTTTACAGGGTGGGGTTGCTAGTCTTCACGAGTCTTATTACTGGCTTAGCGAGGTTTGTAAAGTGCGTCGGTTGGGGATCAAACCATGAACCACATGAGGCGTTGTTGCCGAGCACTCTATCACCGAACCACCGACGTCCATGTTCCCTATATTCTCTATTAAAGTTTAGAAGTTTTATTGTTATATGTTCTTATTCATTTGAGTGGGTTTTCTGTTTGCTTTCTACTGTCATGTTTTTTCTAACTTTCTCACTTCTTTCTCATGCCATTGACTAATTTTTGGTTGACTTACTAATGTGAGGTTGGGCTATTTGAACTAATCACAACTCCGCCCCATTTGACACACTTATGAAGTGTAACTGTCAGACATGTAGTATGACCAGCTTGCGAATTCAGATGAATAGATACCATTAAATATCGATACAACTCCTGTTCAACATCATGCATTTACAACGTATAGTACATAGTATACAGTTTTAAGACTTAAATTTATCATCTGCCAAAGTATTCTTATTATCGTTCTCTTGGGTTCCAAGTGGTGCATAGAGCTTGAACAACACATCTCCACTTTGTTCTGTTTACTGCCATCCTCTTCAGCTGAGTCCACGATTGACCAAACTCTCTCATCTCTTTCTCTCACGATATCCTCCATGTCACCCTCACACCGACGACTCACTCATCGCTTCCTACTTGAATTCCACTCGAGTGATGGCGTGGCGCTCAGTGTCATTCGACGGTTTCTTCAATGTATGCCCAATCTATCTCCACTTTCTCCTACATATTTGTTGAGCGATCAACTTTTGGTTGGTTTGTTCCCACAGTTTCTTGTTACTAATTCCTTCTGACTGGCAATCTAATCTTCACTATGGAGCCAGCGGAGCGGGCAGCTGTTGATGAAAGTCTGCAACCTGTTGGAAACGCTTTTTGTGACACGCAGTGTAAGTTTCTGACCCGTGTAGAAGGACCGACTTCACGTTTCTGTTGAAAATCCGAATCTTGTTCCTTATGCTAACTGAGTGCAGAAGATTTCCAAACTAGTTTCTGAACGACGAGGGCGTGTTACACCTTTCCGATGCTGGCTAACTTTGACATCTTTATCCGTTCCGCCTGTAGTTGAAACGATGCTTCCCAGATAGGTGAAGTATGTAACCTTTGTTAAATCTCTCCTGTTGATGGTGATTAATGCTGGTTGTTGTTGTCGCTGCTGTTCATTAGTTGGTCATCCTTATCACGTCCGTCTTCTCTATGTGCATCTGCAGTCCTGTCTTTGCTGCTTCTTCAGCCAGTTTGTTGGTTTTCGCTTGCAAGTCTTCGAGTTTGTGTGACATTAAACATATATCATCTGAGAAATCCAGATCTTCTAGGGCCTTCTTATCGATCTGCCAAAGATTGCAATTCACACTGGTCACATTCGCAGCTGATAACAACACGTATGAGGAAATCATCATTCTTGATGATGATTAACTTCAGAGAGCGTGATATTGAGAATTAAAGACGGATGAGTGATCACTAAAGTTTTGTCTCAATGTCTATAGTGCAGCATCAAAGGTGCAACCTAATGGGTTAGAATTATATTGTAATACTGGTCAAATTCAGAGAGAACCAGATTTCAAAGTAGGCGATACACTTTCTAAGAATCATCTTGACCAGAAAAATCTATTTTGAAATTGCCTTCATATCTCCTTAACCAATCATCAAATATAATATTAGCATTAGAATCATAGTGGGATTCAGTAATGCTATTCACAGTTCCATCCACAGAAGAGGCTGTCACCGCCAGAGTAGGCTGAGATGATTCCACACTAGAAATTTTTGATTATGTAAGCAAATCAATAATTTTCATTTGGTGTTCTTTCATCTTCTTTATGATGTAGGGCATGTCATATACTGTGACAAGGATATTTCACATCTCCGAAGTAACCTTCTACTTTGAACATAACTAATGGCAGATTAGATAACTCAGGTCATGTAGCACTTCGGTCGTATTAATTTCTGATTAAATCCGAA